AGCTGGAGGGCGAGCACAATTCCTGCTAGGACCGAATCCGTGTCCTCAATGAGGAGGCTAGCAAGGTGGACGACCTCGAGACGCGGGTCGCCCTGGCTGAGGTCGAGGTGTTTAATGCCAAAGAGGCTACCGCTGCACGTGCTGAGGAGGCATCTCGTGCCCGGGTTGAACTGGATGCCGAAAGGAAAGCCTGGGCCGAGGAGAAACGGGCTCTCGAGGAGAAGTCCGCTCTCGAAAAGTCCAAGATTTTCGGGAAGTGCGTCGTGGATTTGGCCCGACTGACTGCGCGTGTGAACGAGTTGCACGCTCAAGTCGACGCGTACGCCGTGGCTGAAGATATGAGGAACTATCCTGCTCCCCCTCCTCCTCCATCTCTCTCATACGTCGAGGTCCAGAAGCTGTTCTTTGATGAGATTTCGGCAGACATGGACTCCGGTGCCGCGTACAACCTCTGCTGGCTTTTCCAGAGCCTCGACCACAGCCTCCTTACGCTCGATGACTTTCGACCTATCATGAAGGCCAAAGTCGCGAAGCACAACCTAAATGAGATCTATAAAGGCATGGTCTGCGAGGTTGACGAGGAAGAGGCGACATTTGTCTGGCGTCAAAAAGAATGGGGGGACGACATCTTGGTCGGTTTTGAAAATTTCGACCCCCACCGTCCAGAGTGGATGTTGAAGGAGGGAGAGCAGTTGGGTGGCTACAAGTCTTACCGGCCTGAGTCTCTGGGGGATACCGAGCAGGATGTCGGCACTTCCCGAGCCAATGATGTTTAACTTTTGTTCGGCCTACGTGCCGCTGTTTTGCCGTTTGTAGCTTTTGAACTTTGTGTGTAACTGCCGAGTTGGCTTTGAACGAATTTGTGTTGAACGACGTTCCAATGTTTGATGTTTAAATTTTTTGTTTTTTGTGGATGTTTGGATTTTATAATTTTTGTTCTAAGTTCTTTTTGCACCTGAGTTGGTTATTTAGCTCGGCGTTCCGACTTTAAGTCGGTCTCTTTTTCTTCCGTCTCTCACTTGACCACTCGGTTCTCCGATCGTGGTAGGCATTTCTGGTGGATCTGGCTGACCCATCTGCGGGGTCGCCCTTTTGTTTTGGCTTCTTACCTAACCGAGTCACTTTTGGAGTTCGGTTGGTATTATTATCGAGCCTAACCGATCGGATTTCAGGGTCGGCCTGCGCAGTATACTGCGTCTTTTAGGCAGCTTTGACCTTTTCTGGGCCTCCTATTGGGCCCGACGGTGCTGTGGCCTTACCGAGTTGCTTTTCTGGCCCGACATGCGTAGTTTCTCACGCGTTTTTGGTTGTATGACTTACGATCAAAGTTATAAATTAAAAAGGTGCATAGTTTAAAGCATATAACTCGATTTAACAATCAAAGTTTACATTTTTTTGCACACTTCGGGTCGTCCTAAACTTACTGATAGAATTTTTTCAAAAACGCCGAGTTCCATAGATATTGGTGGGGAGTGCCGTCTAGGTATTCTAGTCGATATGCCCCATTCGGAAGGACTTTGCAAACTTTGCAGTGCCCTTTCCATTTCGGCTTAAGGGGTCTGGGATCTGTTCCCGTCACTCTTTTCAACACTAGGTCGCCGATTTGGTGGGCCCGCGTCTTGAGATGAGAGTTGACGTATCTCTCGCTCCGCTTTTTGTAGGCTGCCTAAGACCGTAACTCGTCCAGGAAGTCAAGGTTGGCCCTTAGTGACTCGTCGTTTGTAGTCTCTTCGAAATTTTCTACGCGGTACGTCGGTGCATCGAGCTCGACTGGGATCATCGCTTGGCATCCGTATGCCAGGGAGAACGGCGTCTCCCCGGTAGATGACCTAGTAGTGGTACGATATGACCAAAGCACTCCCGGCAATTCGTCCGGCCAGGCTCCATTCGCGGATTCTAGTGGGACCTTCAATCCTTGTTTAATAATTTTATTCACGGCCTCAACTTGACCGATTGATTGAGGGTGGTATGGGGTGGAGAAGAAATGTTTAATGCCATGCTCTCTGCAAAACGCTTCAAACTTTTTCCCCTTGAACTGTTTCCCGTTGTCAGTAATGATCGAGTTCGGCACTCCGAATCGGCAAATGATCGACTTCTAAAGGAAGTCAATCACCTTCTGCTCGGTTATCATGGCGAGGAGCTCGGCATCTGCCCACTTGGTGAAATAATCGATGGCCACGATGGCGTACTTCACCCCCTTACCCGTTGGCAAGGGTCCGATCAATTTAATTCCCCACTTGGCGAATGTCCACGGGCTAAATACCGACTTGAGGGTCTGTGAGGGTTGAATGATATTCAGAGTGAAGACTTGACATTTGGCGCATTTTCTGGCCATTTCGAGGGCGTCCTTCTTCAAGGTCGGCCAGTAGTAGCCTGCCTTAATATTTTTTGAGCGAGTGCGTATCCTCCCGAGTGGTTTCCACACACCCCCTCGTGAACTTCTTTCAAGATATATTCGATCTTATTTTCG